CGCTGGAGGGAGGCAGCATGTCTGGCCTGGCAGGAATAGGCCTTGGGTTACCGCTGGTAATCCTGCCTTCCCCTTGTAGGGTTAGAGGAGGTCGGAACATGTGGCCTCCTTGCCCTTTTTGCACCTCCATATTTAGATCTAAGTAAATTCCTAACCATTTTTGTCCTGGCAAAACATATTACTGTATTTCATTAATCTAAGATGTCACTGATTGTAAAATTCACTATTATTCTATGCACCAATGAGAAAGGGAGAAAAAGCCAATTAATAGGACATCCTATCGATTTAAGATCATACCAATATTTCAAGTGGCATTAAAATGTGAAAATACATGCATCTTTGAGGGGATGACATATGACTATTTGATTTCAAGGGCTATTGCCTTTACTCACTCCTCTCCAGAACTGTCTGTTGATTTATTTGTAATGCACAATTAAAGATAATGGGGCCGTTCTTTGGAAAACAATTGTTATTTTGTTTTGAGTGCCTGCTTAATATAGCATTTTGGCTAGTTCCTCAAGGTTAAAATCTCTAATTTCTCTCTAATTATTTTACTTCAATCTCAGAGGTGATCGCAGGCATATGAATACTTGGCAGAAAAAGAGAAAGAACGGGGGGGACTAGAAAGAGGACAGCAAAGTAAAAGTCCGAGTTGTCAACCACTGTTTTCAACATTCTAACTATTTTTTAAATTTGAAAAACCTTACATCGTAAAGAAACAAGAACCTTGCTCTGGAGCTCTAAAAATCCAAATGAGCTTGATAAAACTTGTCACAAGGCAAATTTTATTTTTTTTAAGTTACAAAAATATGAACATGTTAAAAGTATAGTCCACACAGAGAGTAGTTCCAGCCAATTAAAGTTATACAGAACTTGGAAAAAGTATTCATATGCAAGTCTTAAAAACATACAATTAGTGAACAGTACACAACCGTTCATCAGTTCAGTTATTGCTAGTTATATGCAGCTTCTATTTGAGACTATTCTCCCTAAAGGGAGGGGGTAGCATTTGAGCATTCAAATTGTTGCTAAAGCTGTGGTTCTGAAAAGCCAATTTAAAATAAGCAGCTCATTCTGAGCAGACTATAATGTGTAAATTTATAAGAAGGCTTGGATAATTTCTCAACTGCAGTTCCAGCCCCTTATTTTGTTAATACAGCGGAGATGTAGTGTGCAGTTTGAGGCAAGAGCAAACGAATTACTGGTTTTAAAATTAAGTTATAAGAAACATTGATTTTGAGTTGAAATGTAGAAACAAAGCTTACAGCTTAGAAACACTGAAAAAAAATAAAATGGAAAAGATATTTACAGTTTAGCTAAAAATCAAAACTAGGTTTCTTTCTCTTTAGAAGTTGAGACATCAAACTAATCAATTTGTTATTCTGAAGTTTACGGCTTTATAAAGATCTACTGTTCCTTCATTTTCTCTTAAAAAGACAGTCAGCCACATAACAGAAAGAGAATGGTTTCAAACAGATCTTATTGTTCAATGTCATATGAAGATTTTTATCATAAAAATAATCTCAAATTTTCAATAATTAAAAATAATACAGTTGACAGTAAAAAACACAGGGGGAATAAAATCACTTATCTTGTGGGGCATTAACATATAGTGGAGTTTTGGCCTGAAGTTCACATGGAAGACATAGAAGTTAAGAGATATGTCCTGTTACTAATGGCAATGGCTTTGTTTCCAATTTTCCGTTAGACTCTAGCTGCCTGAGTTAGGCTTATTACTGACATTTTACCCTCGTAAGTTCTTGAGTAAATTGAGACCTATATTGGTTGTATGAGGTAAGTTGAAAAACCTTAAAAAAATCATGTTGAAAACCTAAGTGACACTCATAACTATTTGGCAAGGATACCGATTACCTTAGTGATTTAAATCCTAAAAAGAAGACAACACATTTTTAAGAGGTAGAAAACTAGTACCAAAAATTTAGCATTTGGCCACTCCTCCTTAGTTTTGGCTCTAACCTTGGATCTCAACATTTCTCACTCTCCATTCTCACATTAAAGCTATTAGTTCTACTGCCAGTCATAATATGAAGTTACAGACCTCTGGAGTTGCCAAAATATTATTTTTAAGTTTTGCTTTTAAGCTACCAAATGTACCCAGTAATAAACTGAGAACATTCTGTATCTCTCTAGTCTACTAATTCACTTTATAAAAAATCATGCCAACATAAAATACATTACTTAACATCTAAAAAGACATCTCTACATGCAATTCCAGTAAGTCAGAGTAGTTATGCAAACCTATTTTAGTGATGTTCTCATTGAACTGATATGAAAAAGCCATATATTAAAACCGTGTCACTAGTGTTTACTGAAAATAAATGGATGTTTTACTATAAAATTAATAATAACCAGAAAAAACTTCTTCTCAGAGAGTTACGTTGTACTGATAATCCAAAGACTATTATTGTTTTCATTTTTGCGATGGGCTGAATTCACAGTGAATATTAGTACAGAGATCATGTATTTAACATTACTATCAGAATGTCATTAGTGGAATGTATATAAGGCATGTAAAAAACTATCATTAAAGCTCTTAAGGGCAATGATTCAAACTGGCAGCTGCCAGAAAAGGTGCTCTTAGAAATTGAAAATACTAAAGAAATTTAGTTTCAGGACACACTAGGTTATAGTGCTTCTACAATGAAATAGCTCACATAATTTTTGTTTCTGGAACTAATGGACTAAAGGAGACTGGACCTTTGCCCTCTTTAACTAGTAGCCCAATCCTGAAAGCGGAAGCAATCACTTGCAATCTTCCACACCGTGTTATGAGGGGTGGACTGTGCAGTCAGCAGGAAGTTCTGGTTGAAGTAATGCTGCTTGTTTCCATCGAACTTCACAATCCCACTGGTCACAACAAGAACTGTAGTCTGGGACGGGGTGGCTTGCTCTTCACCGATCAGAAAGAAAAAAGAGAGAAAAAGTTGGTTTCTATATCTAAATAAGCAGATTTTCAGACTTATGCTACAATGCTTATGATACAACACTAAAAAAAATTTCCTAAACTTTCTTTACATTGACTATAGTCTGTTTTTAAAGACTCAAAGTCACAAAACTAAGTATTAAAATCATTTCTAAGATGCTATTTTCAGTCCAGAAAGACTTTAGATACTCAAATTTTCAAAATAAAGAACTTATACCTAGCATGGGACCATTTCTATGCTATACAAATGTATTAATACTTAGTTGGGGTTCTATTGGAACTTATTCCAGTTTTGAATTTGAAGTTATTTTTTAAGACCTATAAAGGGAATAAAAGTACCCCAAACCAGGACTTAAGATACTTAGGACCCCACCTGGAAGTTAATTTTATCAAATGCATCAGTCTACCTTGAATTGAATTCTGTCTTGCCAAAGTCAACCTTTCACCTAACACAGTAAATTTCTTGATACTAAAAGGAACCCTGGTGACACAGCAGTTAAGCAATAGACTGCTAAGTGAAAGGTCAGCAGTTTGAATCTGGCAGCCACTCCGTGGAAGAAAGATGTGACAGTCTGCTTCTGTAAAGATTTGCAGCCTTGGAGACTTTATGGAGCAGCTCTACTCTGACCTACAGGGTTGCTATGAGTCAGAACAGACTTGTTGGCAATGGATTTTTTAGAAGATACTGAAAGACATTAATCAGAAGTAGGGTATAATTTTTCTTTGGAGACATTTCACAGCATAGCAGGCAACCATCTGTTTAAGGGAGAACAGATAATCTCCTACCTCCATTAACAAAAATCACAGGTAATCTCAATTTAATTGTTAAGAAGCCATAATTGCACAATCTACCAAAACCTATTAGCAGCCCTCTGGAGTAAGATGCATCTGAAGGAGACCAGAAGTTAGATTGTTGTTGTTGTTGTTTGCCGTTGAGTCGGCCCTGACTCATAGCGACCCCTCCTTGGGTTTCCGAGGCATTATCACTACGGAAGTAGGATTGCCCAACCTTCCTTCCGAGGAGCGGCTGGTGGGTTTGAACCGCCAGCCTTCTGGTGAGCAGTCAAGTGCCTTAGCCACTATGCTACCAGAGCTCCCTGAAGTTAGATTAGACAGCTGAATTTTTCTTAAAATGTAAGCTTCATAGATAAGCAAATACCTCCATTATTAAAAGTTGCTTCTGCTTTTGATGTAAAAGCTCACTGCTCACTGAAGGAAGACCAAAAAAGTACCTTGGAAGATCCCGATCTTACCATGAACTGGCTGGCAATCTAACATATTGACCTGGAACTCACTAGAAGGCAATGTTTCAAAAAAATTAGTCAGGGCATCCAGCCCAGTGACAACATTTCCATTCCAAATTAAAGTGGCCTTGTCCAGATACAGCCTGGGTAGTACCTAAAAAAGAAAGAAACCAAAACAAAACAAAATTTTATTTATTGGTAAGCATTTTATACAAATGGATTAAAAGGTTATAGATGGTATAGAAACATTTTTACAATGCAGCCCTGGTGGCTCAATGGTTAAGCACTAGGCTGCTAACAAAAAGGCTGGCAGTTTGAACCCACCCAGTGGCTCCACGGGAGAACGACTTGGCAATTTGTTCCTGTCAGGATTCCAGCCTAGAAAACCTAGAAAACTGACCCAATGGGTCAGTTGTGTTCTGTCACATGGGGTCACTATGAGTTGAAAATCGACCCAACAGCACCTAACAAACAACCTCCATCTTCTCTCCTCATGCTTCCTGTTCTGTTGGAAACCAATACAAAACAAGGTTTCTGTCTTATAATCTTGGTCTTAAATAGATATTACCATACTTTTAATAAGCTAGACAACTGCACACTCTTCATTATTTCATTTTAGCCACAATAAGAAAACCTTGCATGCAAATTAGGAGAGAATTTTAATGTTTTACTTGCTCTATTAACATAAATTAGTAGTCACAAATTGAAAGCCCATAGAACCCCAAAGCAATTTTAATCTCTCTGCTTTTTCCATAAAAGATCTGAGAATTAACAAAGTTGTCAATGAAGCTCTACCTGTACACTTTAATCTTAGTGTAATACAAGTGAAAATCTGAATCATTTTAACGTTTGTATACATGAGGAACAATCAGTTCCTTTTTACTACTATTCTATCAGCATACTTCAAACATATACATAGTTCAAAAGAACCGTGAATATCTGCTTATGCAGAACCTTTAATAAATCAAATACATTAAGGCCCAGATAAGGCAAAATTCAAGAGTTAACTCTTTGGGGCAAAAGGACACATTACTTGCTTAATTCTAGTATTTAGCTTGGATTAATAGGTAAACACACACCTTAACTCTGGTAATGACCTATGCTGTTTTTCTGATCTGCTTTTTTTGGAAAGCAGCAAGGCATAATAAATAGTGAAGACAAAGCACAATGAACATTCATTGTCACATTCCTTGCCTCATCCCATGTCACTGTACATCAGTACTACGAACATTTTTTATCTTCTGCTTGGGGAAAAAAAAAAGATTTTCAGAGATAGGGCTTTAACTTTCTTACCTGCAGTATCCATGAGGTTCTCTAAAATATAGTTATGATCTCTGGTAGCATAGTGCCTAAGGCACTTGACTGCTAACCAGAAGGCTGGCAGTTCAAACCCACCAGCAACTCCTTGGAAGGAAGATGGGGCAATCTACTTCCGTAGTGATACTGCCTCAGAAACCCAAGGAGGGGTCGCTATGAGTGGGGTCCGACTCGACTTGCACATAACAACAACAACAACAACATGCTGCTAAGAGACCTGGGCAAGATTCACTTGAGCTCATAGTGACAGAACTACTTAGAAGGTGTGTCTCAAGGATAGATCACAAGCAAACAAGAGCTGATGAACTGAGAACTTAGCCTGTTGAAGACAAAAAGGATCCAAGCCATGTAGATCCTGTCAGTGAGAACCAGCTATTGCTGTGGGCCTGGATCAGAAATTATCTATTAATGTATGAATTAATCATTCCCTATAATGCATACTCCATCACTAGCACCGATACTATTTAACTGTATTGATGAAAGGATGAGAACAAGAGAAAGTGATACATTTAAATAAATATAAACTGGGCCCCATGTGGAATGCAGGATTTAAATTAATTCCTATTTACCACCCCTAAAAAGAAAATGAAGTTAAGAGATAACATGCTCAAGGCCACAGACCTAGGCAAAGCTGGGATATGATTCCAGAGCCCACATCCCTACTAATACTAGACCAGTCTTTCCACAACCAATGTGGTTTTGAAACGGAGTAAAGTAAAAACTATTTCCCCCACCCTGGCACCTGGATGGAAATAGATAGGTAGACTGGATTATCCCCAACTTTTTCCCCCACCCTGGTTAAGACAGATAATTAAATAAGACCCGATGGGAATAGATAAGTAAACTAAATTACCCCCAACTACCTTCCCACCCCAGACAGATGAATATTCAGTTCCTTAAAGAACTGAATGGAAAACATTCCTTCCTGCAGATGATAGGCTGCTAAAAGTGTCTTAGAAACAACTTGTAAATTAACTCTGGCCCGGACAAGCAACATGGACAAAAGGAACAAAAGTTAATTGTGGACCCTCTCCCCTCTGCCCAAGCCCCTATCAGCTGATAAAAGGAAACCAGTGTGACCCATCTGCTAACGTCACCCATTTCCCATTGACGCCCCAAATTCCTCAACCTTCTGTGAATATGCACAACCCCCTCTCCTGAAACCTACAAAAAATGTGTTTCCATGGCATCTCAGGGAGTTAGATCTGGGTAACTACCCCTTACTCCTTGCACTGCAGCTTTGCAATAAATAATTTTCTCTCCTCTCAATCCCGGTGTGTAAACTGTTTTGGCCTGACTGTGTGCAATGGGCAGGGACCCGCGTTTGGTCTGATAAGTGTTTCACATTGGTTAGTCACTTATGGAAGTCAGATGAATGGGTGGCTAAAAGAGAATTGGTATTTTATTAAGAGTAGCAGAATTTGTAACACTCACCCGCCTTCTTTTGTCCATTGTCTCATAGTAAATACTGACAAATTCCTCAGCAGCTCTACATGCCTGATCCACGTAAGTTTTAAAATCCTACAAAAAAAATTTCGTAAGTGGAGATGACCATTCCTCAATCCCCTACAAACACAAAACCACTACAAAGAGGTGACAATTTATTTCAACCACTTTATAGATCTACACATTGCTATACCCCTTCATATAAATTTGGACATTTTAAATAGGCCCTCAAAGCTTCTAATTTTTAAAATTTCACTATTTTTACGAAACATGTCAGTAGGTTATAATTTTCTCTCATTAACGTTTTTTTTTTCACGCTTCACAAATTTATGATCTTTGCTTAGCACGTAAGTTCTTCAAGCTTTCAGTATTTTACAAAATATTCACCTTAATAAAAATGATGCTGCCTTAACTTAAATAAAGGTAAATTTGCCAGAGAGTAAGCTAAGAAAGTTTTGAGTTCTCATTTCAAGAGAGAAGTTGTGACCAAACTGAAAAGTTGCTGGATGGAAAAAAATTAATAGAAAAGAATGAATTTAAAAACTGCTTGGAAAAATAGGTAGCCTTATTTACAAAACCTCCTCAATATTACATAAACATTCACTAGGGAGCGTTTGTAAAGAGTTGTAAAACGGAAGGAAAAAAATGCCGATTATACTTTTCTTATGCAAAACGATTAAATGACTTCTTCCCTACCATCTACCATGCCCAGCCTATTATCAGCATTAAAAGCAATAAATCACCGGTTTCATTTTTTTAGGTGAGCTAAAGTGATTTTTAGAGATAAAGATAATCGACAGAAGATGCCAAACCATGAAAAGACTCCAAAAACTCTCGCCTCTCGCTAGTCACCTCCGCAAAATCCTTCCCGGGACCAAAAAGCAACTACAAAGTCCGGGAAACGACGGGGGGCTGCAGAGAGCGGGCCCCGCCCCAGAGCCCTGCGGGCCAGGTCGCGATTCGCCACTTGCCCACGTGATCACCAGCCACCCGACCCTCCCCTCATCCGCCCAAGCCCTGGCGCCCAGACACCCTGCCACAGCACCGGAACTTACCAAAGCCATGGCCCTGGGGGAACCCGGATTAGCGTAGCGTGGCAATGGCAGCGTCACTACCTCCTCACGTGCCCGGGACCCTCGCCTTTGAGATAATCATATATTAAGGAAGAGCGCAAAACCCGCCAAACACACAGAATTTTCTACCCGCCCATTCTCTGCCGGAAGTAGCTCAGTCCGTTTTAAAAACACCCCGTGTTCCAACCCTGAGTCTTCCCTCCATTCAGTTCCGACTTTCCCTTCTCATCCAAAGGGCACTCTGGTGGCGCAGTGGTTAAGGTATTCAGCAGTTAACCAAAAGGGTGGCGGTTTGAACCCACCAGCCTCTCGACAAGAGAAAGTCTGCTTCCTTAACGATCTACAGCCTATGAGTCAGATCTAGTCTGTCCTATAGGGTCGCATCAACTCGATGGCAGAGTTCCCCCTCCCCAGCTGTCTTATTTATTTGATATTTATTTACATTACTTAGAAGTAAAATAATTTTGCTTTTGTAAACTCCACAGTACTCCACAGGAAAGTATCCAATTTTCAACCGCACACCCTGGGACAAACCAGAAAAACCCTAAAACAAAGGGTCTGACAAGGGGACTTATTTGCTCCAGAAAGCGCGGCAAAGGCCCGCTAAAGACCAATGAGGATGACCATAAGAGATCTGGCTCTGTAGCCTATAGGAAAAAGGGGTGGAGCTTGGAGAGAAGCTTTCAATCTTAAGGCACAAGTCCTGAGGAGAACAGTTGTACAGTTCGGGAATATTCTAGAAGAATTGATCCTCACTGTCTTAAACCCCAACACCTCAGTGGAATTCTTGAAATTATTATTTGATTCTGTTCCAACGTTCCTCCAATAACCAACCATGAGGTAAACTATTACTGTATTATCTCCATTTCATAGCTAAGAAACCAAGGCACAGAGTGATTAAGTAGCTTTTCTAAGGTGACAAACTAGTAGGAATTCAAAAACAAGCAATGTAGCTACCCCTGAAATCTGGCTTCCCACATCCCGTAAAAACCGCTCATCTCAAAACCGCCATCTTCTCATTCGTCAAATGAACGACCTATATCTTACCATGACCGGCTGGTTTGTGGATCCTCATAATGCTCGCTTCTTCCTCTGTCTTCATAAGACCAATCTCTTTTGAATTTCCACATATTTTTAATCTTAGTTTTCCCTGGCGAGCTTCCAATTCACCTCAACTCTAACCGCAGTTACTTCTCAGGGCGTCCGCTCCCCGCCTCTGGTCTCCTCCTACTGGTGATGCTTTCGTGATGTCTCCACTTTAAAACCTCTCTCCTCTCACGAGATCACAAGAGATACTTGTTTGCTAATAAAGTGCAACAGCCCCAACCTCTTCTCCGAGTACACCAGAATGCACATAGCAACCTTAAAGTCATAGAATCCAAAATTTATTTCCTCTGTATGTCCAACCTACTTTTGTATATTCTCAATCATACATGCTTGAACTGTTTCGATTTTTTTTATCACTCCTCCCCACCATCACAATTTATGAATTCATTCAACAAGTGTTTATTGAGCACTTACTATGTTCCTGGCATTGTATAAGGTTCTGAATATAGAGTGATGAGCAAAATAGATATGGTCTATATCCTCATGAAACTCATTGTGTAATGGGCATGCCTGTCAATGAAGAAAACATTAAGTTACACAGACTTTCCAGATAAGTTCCTCAGTTCTGCCCATTTCTAAAATGAGTTCTTCCTTTCATTCCCACTGCCCTCACTTTTGTTCAGATCTACATTAACTCCTCCCTATTCCGTTAATCCCCCAAATCATTTTTCTGATTGGAATGAATCAATCACTGTCTTTACCTGTATCACTTTCTATCCTCTTTCTCTGTCTTGATACACAAACTTTGACTGTGTTCACCTATTCTCTTTTCTACAAAAGTCTTCTAATTTTTTTAAATTAATCAATTTATATTTGCAGTGTTCCCTCCTCTACCCTCCACTCCAAAATTCTTCTAATTTTTAAAGATCTACCTTTGTCTGGTCTGAGTTTTATCTTTTCAGACTTCATTCTCATTGGTCATCAACACTGGCAAAGTTAACTACTATTGTTTGCCAGATAGGATTCACGTTTACTGCTTCATTTGGTGGTTGCTTTTCCTTATTGAGAACTTACAGTATGTCCAGCATTTTACATGACTTAATTCAATCCTCACAACTCGTGAGGAGGGAGGCATTATTATTCAGATTTTAAACATATAAACTGCAAGGAAGTTTAGTAATTTGGTCAAATATAAAAGCCAATGTGGTTAAGTACTTTGGCCAAATGACACAACTAGTGAAGCTGGGATTTCATCCCATAACTGCCTGACTCAAGGGACTCTCCCCTTAGTCACTCTGCTATTCATGCATTTCCTCATGTTGTGGTTATTTTGAAATGTTTGTTCTACCTGTCCATCTGCGACCAGGTCAGGTGCAGCCTCCTCCATGAAGCCTTCCCTCATTACATGTCCCCAAACCCTAATGGATGTAACCCCTCCAGTAACTATAAGGGATTACTATTGGAGTGGGGAGATAGTACTGGCAAGTAGGTGAGTGTTGAGAGGCACTGGAAAGGGATAGCTGAGCTAGAAGTAGAAGGAAGGCCTAGAGGTTTTTTTTTGTTTTGTTTTGTTTTTAACACTGAAATCAGCTTATTTCACTTGTGGGAAAATACAATTTCTGACTTACATTATTATTATTATTATTATTATTAATGCACTGTATTGAAATATAATTTATGTACAGTGGAATACACAAAACTAAAGTGACACGAGTCAATGCATTTTTTTTGCAGTGTTCCCTCCCCTCCCCTCCCACCCCTGGCAACCAACAAA